CCGCCGACCCCGACACCCGGAGTTTCTGCGGCTCTGGCGTTGGGCTTATGCCCCCGTGAAAGTCAACAAGGTCTGGTGGGTCCTAACCAGCAACCCCCCAGGGCTATTCCAACCGCGGGAGCCCCCCTCCGGCAGAATGGAGGAGAGACAGGTGACGGGCTGCTTGGGGTAGCACCCATGTGCGCACGCGGCTAATCGCGCCCACGACGAGGGCCGTGGACGTCAGGCCTACTCCGCTTCCAGAAGCCGCGGGCTCACGCACAGCAAGCCTGGCTGTGTGAGCAGACCCTGCACACGGCGGGTCCTCCGCTCTGCGGGCAGGAGACCGCAGCACCGTGTTCCCGAGTGTGGGCGCTCCTGGTGCTTCCCGAATCCCCCATTGACACACCCGTCCCGCTTGCTTCAGGGCTTCTCTGAAGCCGCCCCAGGTGTGCCTGTGGACGTGGAGGCTCCACGCTCCCTAAAGCCGCTGCCCGAGAGGGCACAGGCCGTCCCACGCCTGAGTGTCCCCAGGGCGGGCGGCTGCACGCACTGTGTCTCCAACAGCTTCCTGGGAACTTCCCCAGAGACCAGCATCTCAGTCATGACCACTGTCCTGGCACGGGGGAGAGGCTCTGCGGGGCAGCCTCTGGCCCCGCCACGGCCCGCCACGGCCCGCCACGCCCCCGCCACGGCCAGCACACTGTGCCCTAGCCCCAAGGCTGGCGTGCCGGCTGCAGCCTCGCCTGGTCAACCCCAGAGTCCTGGCCACACAACACAAGGGTGCCCGCACACACAAGAAGCGGGCACACACACTGCCCCCTGGCGGCCAAGTGGCCCCCACAGCGGCCCCACCGCCCTCCACAGGGACCTGGCTGGGGTGGACACTGCATTCACGGCATCGGGCCCTTCCAGGTGTCCCTCGGCCCCTCCGGAGTGTCTGATGCTGCTGGCTGCAGGCCACAGACCACCCCACCACCCAGGGGATGGCCACGTGGGCATGGTGGATCTCCCTCTCCTCAGGAGTCCTGCCTGCAGACTATATCCAGCCACACTTCCAAGCTAGGACATGGGGCAAACTTTAACCCCTTCACCTCTGGAAACCACTCAGAGCAGCCAGCCGCTGCACAGGGTCCTTGGGTCCATGCCGGTGGCTCCTCAGACGCGGACTAGCTGGGGTCACTAGGCTCATCCTTAGGTAGAATGGGGCCCTGGTTGGGGGGGCATTTGCAATTTCAGAAGCATGGGTAGGGGTGAGGGGCTGATGCCACCCGACCTTGGGGAGGGGTCCCCTGGTGCTCAGCAAAGCCTGGGTCCCCGGGATGACTACCGTTGTCTCCTCTGGACCTCGCACATCTCTGGGCTGCCTTGCCACGTGGCAGGGCCATGTCTGAGGACACAGCCACAGTGCTGGCACCCAAGGGCCAGGCACACAGTGGGCACCCGAAGGAGAGCAGAGGGCTCCTGGCCCTGATAGCAGACACCCCACACAGGCCAGGACTCCAGGAGGTCACGGCATCCCCAGGGCACGGGTCACGGAAGACCCAAGGTCAGCCTGTGGAGCCCCAGCCACCTGTCCCACTGAGGGTCATACAGGCAACTCTGCTCCTTCCACGAGGCCCGTGGCCCACGCAACAGCCCAGTGGCATCCGCACGCTAGTCTCAGGACACACGCTGTCCCGCAAGTGTGCGGTGTACTCCCCACACCAAGCTCTCTGCGTTCACCGCGGCCGGTGTGGGAAGAATTTCCCAGGAATCTCTAGAAGGAGCCACAGCCACTCCCCTAACTGAGATGTGCAGGTCCCACTGCAGCCATGTCCTCTGGCCAGGTGAGTGGCGGCCCGTTGGCCGCCAGGTGGGGGAAGGGTGAAGCCTGTGGCATGACCTGCGGGGTCCCAGGCCCTGGCGCCTGGCTCCGCGGAGCGCTCACCAGGAAGACATCACACGGTGCCACGGGGCTGAGCCCCCAGATTTCAGATGAACGCTTGCCTGTGGTTAAGATGCAGTGTGCCGTGAGCCAGATGGCCTGTCCGGGGGGGCCACACGCGTGTGGGACTGGCATATGCGTCCTTGGAGCTAAGGTCTGCTCAAGATGGGCAGAGCCCTGGGGGCTCGACGGCCGCATCCCATGAGGCCAGCTCAAGGGTCCCACGCAGCAGCCTTGGCCACAACCCCATCGAGTGTCAGTTAAAATGCCGCCTCTAGAGTTCCGGAGCTCGGAGTTAGGTGGAACATCCCTTTTAGCTCACTTAATGGAAATGTGTTCACTTGCAACAAAATTTCAATTGTTAGTGATTCTTGCCCTCTGAACTTTTCCTGCCAGCCTCTGGGAGCATTACAGAAATGACAGATCTGCAGGCAGATGGTGAGCAACTGTGCAGAGGGAAGGGCGTGCTTCTAGGACAGGGCTGTCCCCACCTGCAACCACAGCCCTGCTGACCGCTAGCTGTCCCCACCTCTAACCCGGACCCTGCTGACCGCTGGCTGTCCCCACCTCTAACCAGGACCCTGCTGACTGCTGGCTGTCCCCACCTGCAACCAGGACCCTGCTGCCCCAAGGCTGTCCCCACCTGTTACCAGACCCTGCTGCCCTCATTCCTCATAATTTTCACGCATGCACGACCTATCACTCCCCTTCCGAGATCCTCCATGCCGCACCTGCCAGCATCCCACATCACCCTGGCACAGCCCTGGCCCTTCAGGGGGCACTTGGCAAGGAAGTGATGCAGGTCCTGCCAAGATCAAACTGCAGCATTTCCCAGAATCAGCAAGGACAAGTATTCTAGACCTCGAAGCAGGCAGTCCGCCTGCCTAGAAAATGCTAATATCGATGAGTGTTTCCGACGTGCACCAAGCAGGCACCAGGAGCCAGCATTGCTGGCAAAACCAACCTCATTGCGTTTGTTTTTGTGGGGGGGAGAGGACAGGTGACAGCAGGTGGACACACATTTAATTTCCACAAGGTCATCTGGCACCGTTCTTACTCAGCACAGGGCACCGCAGTCTGCATGGAGACACAGAGTGGACCGTGTCCCTCCCGAGGGTGCTGCGCCTTCCAGGCTGGCCTCCGCCAGGCACTGCCAGGGAGGACACAGCTCGGGACGCCACACACGGAGAAGGCTGCAGGATGCTGGGCAGAAGGGACATACGACCCAACCCCCCAATGTCCCTGATGGAGCAATTTCCCGGGGCAGAACCGGGAGCAGGGGTGTTGGACAGAGCTCGAGCTGGGCAGGAACCACCCCAGGTCTCTCAGTGACAGCAGCAAGGACACGTGCATCCTGCCAGTGTGTGGCGAGCCGGGCCCGGAGGTCAACGCCAGGCCGGTGCCCGGCTAGAGGCTCACACCCCCACAGCCGAATGCGAGAGATACCGTAGTCCTGCTGCCGTACGTGCTTCAGCTAGAACGTACTTAACGGAAGGGGCACCCTGTATTCTGAGATTGTGCTCTTTCTGTAGCTTGGTGTTAAAAGCGCCTTGTTTCCACATCAGCTTGGGCTGCTCGGATGGCACAGTCTGGGGGGCTTAGGAACACAGCTATTTACTTCTCACAGTTTTGGAGACTGGAAGCCCAAGATCAGGGTGAGGGCAGATTCCGTGTCTGGTGAGGCCCCTTTCTGATTCTTAGATGGCGTGTTCCCGAGCGTCCTCACGTGGCAGACGGAACAGGGACCCACCTCTCTGAGGCCTCTCGTAAGGGCACTAACCCTGCCATCGGCGCCCCACCCTCATGCCCGGATCCCCTCCCAAAGCCCCCAGCTCCCCGACACTGTCACCTAAGGGGTGAGGTTTCAACATACGAGTTTTAGAGGACCACAAACATTCAGACTGTAGCAGAGGAAAAAATAGAAAGGGACAACCCAAGCCATATCCCACCCATTCTTAAAAATGTCCCGAGAGTGTTCAGGCGTCCATCAGCCTGAAGCACTGTTCTGGCCCCAGCTGCAGACGCCTGGAATGTCACAGCCATGTTCTGAACAAGTGAGTTCACTCGCCCAGACACCGCCCAGGACCCAGTGCACAGCGTCAGGCCCTGTGCCCACGTGCCCAGGAGAAGGCCCCCAGGCCTGAGCACAATGTGAATGCACACGCAGATGATCTGATCACATGCGAAACCGAATCTTTAACCCCATCCCCTTATCGACATGCCCCTTCCCTCTGGCAAAGCAGACGGACCTGGGCTGCTCCCCGGGGCCATCCTGCCCTGGTCCCCCACACAGGGGAGCACACGTCCAGCCAACGTTACTACAGTGTACCCAGAAAATGCTTTAAAAAGTATTTCCTACCTTCCCGGGTGTGCACAGAAACGCCACTCCCAGAAGGCATGAATCTTCTAACTCTAGCAAGTGTTCATTTCAGGGCATGTTGGAGCCCTTCTCAGAACACTGCACAAGTGTCTGCAGACACACTTAGCGTTTCTCTTTAGCGACCCGCCAGAAGGACGTCCTTCTAAAAAGGGAGCGGACATCCCGGTGAGCTGGTGCACTCTGCTGCTGAGGGCTTCCGAGGCGGGCAAGCTGGCGCGAGCAGGGGTCTCAGCCATCCCGACGGATCCAGTTCCCATGGACGCCGATAACCGTGTAAGGACCCCCTGGTCCTGCTTGGCACATATGCGTGGGTCTAGTTTTCTCAACGTCCCTCTGGTACCCCAGGCTGGGCAGTTCTCTGCTTCTAGACCGATCACCTTTCAAACCCACTCTCAGGGTCAACTGGGTCCTGAGCCAGACACCGCAGCACCCACAGCCTGGGCCCCTCTGCAGGCCAGTGGTCACCCAGCCGCACGTGGGAGGCATGGTGGTCTCCAATCCCAGCCAGTGACCCTCACACATGAATGGCCAACCCCTCCCCACAATGCCTCCAGCCTGGGAGACTGAGGCTTGCTACCACGAGACCCTAGCCTGAGACTCAGAGGCTGGGGAGGGACAGGCTCTGGGTCCGGCTGGCAACGCTCTGGCATGCTCACTCAGGGGTCCCAGCGGGGTCACGACTCTGACCCCCGCCTCCCTGGCCCACAGGCCTACCTGCTTGCTGCCAGTGTTGCGCTCTGCGTCCTCCGTGCCTTCGCAGCCACTCGCGAACGCGGACACCACGAAGCTGTCCCCTGCGGCCCCGCGAGCCGACGCGCGGGAAACGAGGCACCGAGGAAGAAGGAGACGCGCCGTCGTGAGCCCCAGACGCTGAGCATGAGCCCTGTCCCGCCCGCCCGGCGCGCCCGTCCCAACTCCGCGCGCCCCGCGCTCAGGGCTCAGGCCCAGGGCCGGGCTGGGG